GGTGCATATTGTTTTCTCTCGATCAAAGTGTGCCCCTCGACGCTCGCACCCTGTTTTATACAGGGGAAGTCTTCCTGCTCAAACTGGGCCCCTGGCCCCCGGGTTACAACAACAACGGCTCCCGCCGGAGACTTACTTACAGCCAGGACCCCCGCTCCCGCCCGAGACTTCCTCGCATTTGATTCAGGAATCGCGCTCTCGCTTGTGACTTCCTGACAATTTTTTCAGGAAGCGCTCTCCCGGCGTTCTGGAGTCGCGCTCTCGCTGGAGACTTGCTTGCAACTTACTGAAGAATGGCCTTGCGTTGGGATATCTTGCAATTTGCCCAAGCGCCGCGCTCCCGACACCCAGGCACCCAAGAGTCGCGCCCGTTGTGGCCCCATGTGCATGCCCTACGTGGCCCCGATGTCGCCATTTGTGTCCCGATCACTGTCCTACGTGGCCCCGTTGCTACCCCCAGTGGCCCCATACTTGCCTTCTGTGGCCCCGCATTATCTGCACTTGGTTGCCCCCGCTCGTTCGCGCTCTTCGTGGCCCCACACGCATTCCGTTCGTGTCCCCGCTGTCGCCCTTCGTGGCCTACTTCGTGCCCTGCGGATTACCTGCCCCGCGTTTTTTGGCACGCAGGACAACACTGCCTGACGCGACATTCCGTTCTTGTTTTGTACCACAGCAGAATGCCCTCAACCTTGCGATGCATGTGCAGGTGCCTCCTGCAGCGTGCCACGCCCTTGCCCTCCAGCTTGCACTTCAAGCCAGGTCCCAGCTTCGCCTGAACCAAGTACTTGAGTTCAATCGACACGTCACTACCGCCAAGCCGCACGTCACTGCGGCTGCTGCCTTGCACTCCGGCTTCTCCATGAAACGGTTCTTTTGCAATCCAGCGTGTCCAACACTTCTGCCGACCCACGCTTTCTCCAACCATGAACCTCAAAGCAACATGGCGCGAACCCAAGCGCAATGCACCGGGTCTTGAGGAAAACAGCCGTGGAACCTTTTCGACCCAAGAGGGGAGGTACCAACTTGAGAAAGAGCGCGTTCTGTGGTCGCTTGGAGGGGGGGGGGGAAACGGCCCCCCCTCCCCCCCTCCTGGATGGAGGGGGGGTTCGACCCCCCCCCGCCCCTCCCGTGACGGAGAGGGGGGGGGTTTTGAACCCCCCCCACTTCTCCTCTCTCCCTCTCCTCGTGCCGGCGCTTGTGTCGGCGGCGGCTGGTGGCGGGCGGTGGCGGGGACGACGGTTTCCTTTTCTGGGCTGGCGCCGGCGCCTGCGGCGGCGGGCGGCGGTGGCGGGGAACCTCGACGAGGACGACGGTGGTGGTGGTGGTAGTGGTGGTGGTGGGTTGTGGTGGTGGTGGTGGTGGTGGCGGTGGTGGTGGTTGTGGTAGTGTGTGGTGGTGGTTGTGTGGTGGTTGTGGTAGTGGTGGTTTGGTGGTGGTGTGGCGGTGGTTTGAGGCGGTGGTGGTGGTGGTGGGTTGTGGTGGTGGTGTGGTGGTGGTGTGGTGGTGGTGTGGTGGTGGTTTGTGGTGGTGGTGGGTTTGTGGTGGTGGCGGTGGTTTGTGGAGGTGGTGCTCGTGGTGGTGGTGGTGGCGGTGGTGGTGGTGGTGGTGGTGTGGTGGCTTGTGGTGGTGGTGGTGGGTTGTGCTGCTGGTAGTGGTGGTGGTTGTGGCGGTGGTGGTGGTGGTGTGGTAGATTGTGGTGGTGGTGGTGGAAGTGGTGGTGGGTTTCTGTGCTGGTGCTGGTGATGGTGAGTTGTGGTGGTGATGGTTGTGGTGGTGGTGGTCGCTGTGGTGGTGGTGGTGGTGGTTGTGTGGTGGGTTGATGCTGATGGTGGTGGGTTGAGGCGGTGGTGGTGGTGGTAGTAGGAGTGGTGGTGGTGGTGGTAGTGGTGGTAATCGTCGCTGCGTCCCCCCTGTCGCCAGCGCCAGCGCCAGCGCTGCTGGCCGCCGCCAGCGCCGGCGTCGGCGCCAGGGGGGGGGGTTTGAACCGCCCCCCCCTGGGCTGCCTCTGGTCATCGTCGCTGCGTCCCCGCCGTCGGCGCTGCTGGCGGCCGCCAGCGCTGGCGCCGGCGCCTGCGCCCAGGGGTGGGGTGGGGGTTTGACCCCCCCCCCTGGGAAGGGGGGGGTTTTGGGGAGGGGAGACCCCTTGGTTTTGATCGACGGCGCCGAGTGTTGGGGGCCCCCCCCCCCCCGGTTCGAAACGCGCCGCCGAATGTTCCCAAGGCAAGCGCCCGTGAAACGCGCTCTCTTTAACTTGAGCTCACATCTCTTGAGCCATAGAGGCGCATTAACCAAAATGGTCACGGAGGGATGATGATGAAGATGGTGATGATGATGCTGATGCTGATGATGATGGTGATGGTGATGATGATGATGATGGTGAGGAGGAGGAGGAGGCGAAGGGAGGACGGCGGGACAGGGAGGAGGAGGAGGAGGAGGAGGAGGAGGAGGAGGAGGACAAGGGTGAAGACCAGGGGAGGCGAGGGGCGAAGTCCCTCCTCAGGAGACGTTGCGAGAGCGGCGGCAGACGGAGAAGCTCGTGCTGTTCCAGCGGCTTTGGAAGGAACCCATGCAGGATGAGGAGCAGGGGGAGGAGGAGGATGGACCTGCTGGCCTATCCTGGCCATTCTGTCCTTCCGTTGCCTCTTTCTCACTGGCTTTGCTGCTGCCCCCCCCGGTTCGGCCGCTCTACTCCATCCCCTGCCTGTACCCGCTCTCCTGCTGCTCGGACTCTTTCCGTGCCCGTCTCTGCGCCAGGAGGAGCGAGTAAAGCTTCGAGGTTTGAGCATCGAGGTTTTTGTGCGTCGTTGGCCTTTCTTGGACCTTTGCGGGCCGCCAGGAGCTCTGGAGGCCTCGGGGTCTCCTCCAGCGGAGACCCCGCTAGACTTCGGAGACCCCAAGAAACCTCCAGTGGCCCCATGAAGACCTAAAAGTGGTGATGACGATGATGACGATGATGACGACGATCGTAATGATGATGATGGTGATGGTGATGGTGATGGTGATGGTGATTGTGGTGATGATGATTATGATGCTGCCGCTGCTGCTGATGACGATGATGATGCTGCTGATGATGATGATTGAGGTGGTGGTGGTGACGATGGTCGTGTGCTGGTGATGATGATGCCGGTGATATGATGCTTACTACGACGACGTTGCTCACGATGACGGTGACGTTGATGACGACGATGATGATGATGATGATGATGATGACGGTCATGATGTTGATGGAGATGATGATGAACATGATGATGCTGATTATGATGATGTTGATTATGATGATGATGCTGTTGATGGTGATTGTGATGATGATCATGGTAATGATTGTGCTGACGATAATGACGATGACGGTGGTAGTGCTGACGCTGCTTAAGATGCTGATGATGCTGATGATGATTCCTCTTCTTCTTCTTCTTATTCTTATTCATTTTGTTACTTATTATATGTATGATAACTCGTATGCTGATGGTGGTGGTGATGATGACATGATGCTGATGATGATGATGGTTTGTGATGCTGATGTTGATGAGGATGCCGATGATAGTGGTGATGATGCTGCTGGTGATGATGATGATGATGATGATGATGATGATGTTGGCGGTGGTTGTGCTGATGATGATGCAGCTGATGCGGGTTATCATGCTGAGTACGATGATGATGAGACTGATGCTGATGATGATACTGATTCGGATGATGATCATGGTGATGTCGATGATGATGCTGATTATGCTGATGATGATGATGATGGTGACGATGATGTTCATGATGATGCTGATGATGACGAGGATACTGATCTTCATGCTAATCATGATTATACTTATGATTGCGACGAGAACCATGATGCTGCTGCTGATGATGATGCTTTACGTGACGATGATGCTGATGATGATGATGCTGTCGATTATGGTGATTGCGATGATGATGATGATGATGATGCTGATGATGATGATGATGATTCCGACCATGATGATGATGATGATGCTGATGATGATGATGATGATGATGATGATGATGATGACGGTGTTGATGGTGATGACGGTGGTGGTGTTGATTATGATGCTCATGGTGGACATGCTAATGATGATTATGATGATTGATGATGGTGATGATGACGATGACGATGACGAGGATGATTACGTTGATGACCATGATGATGCTGATTACGATGATGATGATGACGATGATGATGATGATGATGATGATGATGATGATGATGATGATGATGCTGATGCTGATGATGGTGATGCTGATGATGATGATGACGATGGTGGTGGTGATGCTGGTGGCGGTGGTGAGGACGTGGATGACGATGGTGACGATGGTGCTGCTGATGATGACGATGTCGATGACGATGCTGGTGATGCTGATGATGATGATGATGATGATGATGATGATGATGAAGATGCTGATGCTGTTGTTGATGATGATGATGATGATGATGATGATCGTGGTGGTTGTGGCGGGTATTTGATGAGGATGATACAGATGGTGGTGGTGGTGCTGGTGCTGATGAGGATGATGATGATGATGATGATGATGATGATGATGATGATGATGACAACGATGAGCATGATGATGAGTATAATGGTGACGGGGAGGATGGGCTTTGATGATGCAGACGTTGCTGCTGATGATGCTGGCGACGATGGACAGGATGCGCATGGCGATGGCGATCACGATGGCGATGGTGATGCTGCTGATGCAAATACTGATGCTGCTGCAATGTTGATGATGATGATGATCATCATCATGAGGACGCTGCTACCGTCTACGGCAACCATGGCGATGGTGATTCGCATGATGTTGGCGATGGAGATGATGTTGGCTATGGTGATGGCGATGTCGATGGCGATGGCGGTGATGATGATGATGATGATGATGATGATGATGATGATGATGCTGATGCTGATGCTGATGCTGATGCTGATGCTGATGCTGATGATGATGATGATGATGATGATGATGATGATGATGATGATGATGATGATGATGGTGTTATTGCGAAGGCCTTACGGCCGGTGCCGCCGACCCTGAATGGCGACGACGACGACGACGACGACGAGCGCTCTTGGGGGCCTCTTGGGGGTAGTTTGTGGGCCTCTTGGGAAGCTCTTAGGGGCCGCTTGGAAGCCTCGTGGGGGCCTCTTGGGGCTTCCTGGGGGTCTCTTGGAGGGGGCCTGGGACGTCTTGGAGGCTTCTTGGACGGTCTTGGGGCTATCTTGGGCGTTTTCGGCCGATCTTTGGGCGACTCGGGGCCCTCTTGGGCCGTCTCGGGGGCCATCTTGGGCATTCGGACCTCATTTGGAGTGTTTTCGAGGTTTCTAGGCCGCCCGAGGAAAAACGAATCTGCCCCCCCACCCCCCCAGGGACCCCCCCGGGACCCCCCCTGGGACCCCGCCCGGGACCCCCCCCCCCTGGGGAAGGGATCAAAGGGAAGGGGCTTCCCTTCGACTCGATTACGACACTGCTAGATTTTTCTCTCGTTCACGAGCTTGAGAAGGAAGCTGCAGGGAAAGGGGACGACGGAGGCGACGACCGACGGAGACGACGACTCGAACAGCCAAGCCCCTCGCACACGCCGACAGGGTCGGCGGATTTATGATGATGATGGCGATGCTGATGATGTTGATGCTGATGCTGATGATGATGATGATGATGATGATGATGATGATGATGATGATGATGATGATGATGATGATGATGATGATGATGATTCCGATGATGACCATGATGATGACGCTGATGCTGATGATGATGGGGGTGATGATGAGGATGATAATACTGCTGATGCTGTCCATGATGATGATAACGCTGAGAATGAGGATGAGGATAAGGATGATGATGATGCTGATGACGATGGCGATGCTGATGCTGATGCTGAAGATGATGATCATGATCGTGACCATATATAATCATGTTGATGACGCTGAAGGTGACGGCGACGATGCTGATTCGGATTATGATGATGCTGTGAATATTGTGATGATGCAAATGATGATGGTGTTGTTTTTGTTGGTGATGACGATGATGACGACGATGCTGATTATGGTATTTGTTGTCATGCTGATGATGATGCTGATGATGCTGATGCTGATGCGGATGCTGATGACGATGATGATAGTTACTGTGATGATGATGCTGATGATGCTGGTGATGATGCTGATGATGGTGATGCTGATATTGATGCAAATGATGATGCTGATGATGATGATGATTATGATGATGCCGAAGGTGACGATGACGATGCTGATGATGGTGGTGGTGATGACGACGACGACCACGATGGTGGTCATGATCATGGGGGTGGTGGTGGTGGTAGTGGTGATGATGACGATAACGAGGCGAGGAGGAGGAGGCGGATGAGGAGGAGGAGGAGGAAGAGGAGGAGGAGGAGGAGGAGGAGGAGGAGGAGGAGGAGGGGGAGGAGGGAGGAGGAGGAGGAGGAGGAGGAGGAGGCGGAGGGAGGCGGAGGCGGAGGCGGGCGGAGGCGGGCGGAGGAGGAGGAGGAGGAGGAGGCGGAGGAGGAGGAGGCGGAGGAGGAGGAGGAGGAGGAGGGAGGGAGGAGGAGGAGGAGGAGGAGGGAGGGAGGAGGAGGTGTGGAGGAGGAGGAGGGGAGGGTGAGGAGGAGGAGGAGGAGGAGGAGGAGGAGGAGGGGAGGAGGAGGAGGAGGATGAGGAAAGAGGAGGAGGAGGAGGAGGAGGAGGTGGAGGAGGGAGAGGGAGGAGGGAGGAGGAGGAGGATGAGGAGGAGGAGGAGGAGGAGGAAGAGGGTGAAGGAGAGGGAGGAGGAGGAGGAGGAGGAGGAGGAGGAGGAGGAGGCGGAGGCGGAGGCGGAGTAGGAGTAGGAGTAGGAGTAGGAGGAGGAGGAATACACATACACATCATACTGAACCGAATACTATTCATACGAATAAGATGAAGACTTCTACGAATAGGAAGGCTAACAACAATACTCATAGCAATACGAAAGCTGTCCGCAGTAATAGTTCTGACCATAATAATAATATGAATACTAATAGTAACACGCATCCTACGACTACGAACAATACTAATTATAGTACTGCTACTAGCAATAAGCATACTACTGAAGGTAATGCTACTGAGACAATTAATAATGCTAATGCTACGAATAATACTAATAACAGTCACACTAATACTAATAATGCGAACAACAACATCATTACGAAAACCAATAATCATAAAAAATACGACTGATATTAAGACTATTGATACTAATACTAAGGATAATGATATTACGAGTAAGAATAATGATACTAATGCTGATAATACTAATGACAATGGTAAGAGTAATGCTATGAAAGTATGAATAATACGAATCATGATGATACTGATGATAATCATACTAATAGTAAGAAAGAAAAAGAAGAAGAGCAGGGGGAGGAGGAGGAGGAGGAGGAGGAGGAGGAGGAAAGGAAGGGAAGGAGGAGGAGGAGGAGGAGGAGGAGGAGGAGGGAGGAGGGAGGAGGGAGGAGGGAGGTGGGAGGAGGAGGAGGGACGAGGGAGGAGGGAGGAGGAAGGAGGGAGGAGGATGAATTGTCGATGTGTCCGAATATGCTGCTTTCGAAGAATCTCCAGGCGATGATTGCCCTTCAGGTGCTGGAGACTACCCTAAAATATGTTTGCCCACAACGCCGAAGGGACTCGTTCACTGCCATACCAATTTCCCATCCTCTTGCGGATCGGAAGTTGTTGTTGCGAGGAAGCCTAAGGCTAATCGTTTTCTCATGTCCGGCGCGGCTCGAGAATTCTTGGCTCCTTCCCTCCTCCCATCCTCCCTCTCCTCTTCCTATGTCCTCATCCAACTTCCTTCCCACCGGAGATACTCATTGCAGCGCTGACGCTCGCAACGTGCACGCTGCTCTTCCAGATATTCAACATCTCCCGCAGCATTACCTCCAGGTTTTCGGGAGATTGGGGCCCGGTGGCAGGCGGCGATGACGAAGGCGAAGGTTGGTGTCGATCGCGACGATGGCGAGGATCTCGGCGATGATGATGATGGTGATGCTGATAATCATGATGATGATGCTGCTGCTGATGATGATGATGGCGATGGTGGTGACGATGATGATGATGATGATGATGATGATGATGATGATGACGGTGACGATGACGATGACGATGACGATGATGACGACGATGTCGATGGTGATGATGATGATGATGTTGGTGGTGACAATGACGACGATGACGATGACGTCGATGACAATGATGACGATGATGATGTCAAGGATGATTATCCTGATGATGGTGACGACTGTGATGACGATGGCGATGGTGATGGTGATGGTGATGGTGATGACGATGTCGATGACGATGACGATGGTGGTGATGAAGATGATGGTGGTGATGCTTATGATGACGGATTATGATGGTGATGATGATGTTGCTGTTGATGATGATGATGGCGATGGTCATGATGCTCATGATGATGATGATGATGATGATGATGATGATGATGATGATGGTGGTGGTGGTGGTGGTGGTGATGCTTATGATGCTGATGATGCTGCTGATGATGCTGATGATGGTGAGTAATTTGTGATGATAATAATGACGATGATGCTCACGACGATGCTGATGCTGCTGCTGATGATGATGTTGTTGATGATGATGATGCTGATGCTGCTGCTGCCGCTGATGATGATGCTGCTGATGATGCTGATGATGCTGATGATGCTGATGATGATGTTGACGCTGATACTGATGATGCTGATGATGATGACGATGATACTGATGATGCTGATGTTGATGTTGATGATGATGATGATGATGATGATGATGATGATGATGATGATGCTGATGATGCTGACGCTGATGATGCTGCTGATGCTGATGCTGATGCTGATGCTGATGCTGCTGATATTGATGATGATAATGATGACGATGGTGATGATGCTGCTGATGATGCTGATGCTGCTGATGATGCTGCTGATGCTATCGGTCCGGGTTAGGGTGTTTTTGATTACGAGGGTGCATCTCAAGTTTCGAGCGTGTTGGCACTGGGCAGTTGTCGTCGCAGATCTGTCTGCTCCTTCTTGCGGGAGGGGATTGCCGGGTTTGGCCTGGCCAGGTGGGCCCACCGCAGTGTTGTTTGGGCACACGGAGTTGTGGACCCCAGAGCCAAATCTCCTGGCGTGGGCACTTCGAAGGTGGCGTTGGGAGGGGGCCGAGGTGAAACTGCACATTGGAGTTAGCTTTACCGCTCCTTCCCTCCCTCTTCACTTGAGTAATGATTCGTGAGGTCGTTATCATATGACGACGATCGCTGGATTTTGGCTCAAGGTCGGAGGAGGGCCTTGAGCGACCCCTTGGATATCGATATGTTGGATTTGCGGCAGTCTGCCTGGCTGCCGGAAGATAAAACACCAACGTCGTATTGCCAATGTTTTTTTTGTCGTTGATACCTTCGTTACCGTCGAGGTATATTCTACATAAGACGCCGCACCGTGCCCGAGGGCCCCGGGGCCGCAGCCCCGACCACAAATGGGGGGACGTCGGGCCCAGCCCGCTCCACGGCGGGCCCCAGGTCGGCCCCCGGAGCGCCCAGACGGCCGTCCAGGCGGCCCCAGGCCGCCCACAGCCACCCTGAAGACAACCTCCAGCGGTCTCCGGCGGCTCAAGAGGCGTCTCGAACCGCCCCAGACCGCCCCAGACGCCTCCAAGACGCTCGAAGACCCCTGAAAGAGATCCCACCAGACGGCCCCGGGAAGCAAAAATAGCCCCGCTCCTTTCGTAAAACGTACATGTTTACCATATTCGATTTTTTGGCCTTCGTATCGTCCTTTACGACCTCCGACTCTCTATAGACCGCCCCAAGACGGCCCACGAAGCCCACAAGAGAGCCCCAAGACGGCCCCAGAGGGACCCTGGACAGTCCAAGAGGCGCCCAGGACGGCCCAAACGCGTCCCCGAAGGGCCCCAAGAGGGGCCCAAGACGGGACACCCAGTTGAACCTTCCAGCCCCCGCGCCCCAGGAGGCCCCCAAGATGCCCCTAAGAGATTCCCAAGAGGCCCAAAGAGGCCCCCAAGACGCCCGCGGCAGGCTCCCAAGGGCCTCCAGAGGCCCCCCCAAGAAAGAGGCTTCCAAGAGGCCCCCCGAGGTTCCCAGGAAGCCCCCAGGAGACCCCCAAGAGGGCCCCAACGGGCTTCTGAGAGGCTTCCCCAGAAACCTTCATGTATGTCTACATGCGCCCTTCGGTCCAAAAACCTGAGACCGTTCCTGGGACGCCGCCTGATTGGCACAGGTTTTCTTTGTCTCTGTCAAGGGGTGGAGCGGCAGCGACCCTTGTCGCTGGGGCAGGGGGAGCAGGCCCGGGCCCCGAAAATTTGGCGAGAAGGGCTTGCACGAACAGATTTTTAGAGACCACCTGCCCGTGGAACTGGCGACGCCGGGTGGCTTCATAGTTTCACAGCGCCTGGCGGCGGCAGCGTTGGCGCTTACTTTTCCTGCCCATGCACCTCTCTCTTCGGGGCCAGGGCCCGCTGTTGGGGGCCGCCAAACAGGTCCCAGGCCGATCAGACGGCCGTCCCGACGGACCAAGATTGCCCCGAGCTCCCCTGAAGACGGTTTCCAGAGGTTCGAGACGGCCCAAGAAGGTTCAAACAGCAGCCCGACGAGTGCTCCGAGAGGCCAAATTTAGATATCGTCCTTTAGTTTTTTGACGGATTTCGGGCTTCCAACGCTCCCAGACGGGTCAAGAGGTTCCGCAGACCGCCGTCAAGGCGGCTCTAGAGGGGAGGCGTCCACGACGATCCAAGACCAATTCAAGAGGACCCGCATGAGTGCCCCATCCCCTCAGGAAAACTTGCACTTTTTAGTATATTCGTTTTTTAGTTTTAACAGTCAAAGGCACCCCAGAGGTCTCCAAAAACGCCCACAGACAGCCCATGAGGCTCTCAAGAGTGCCCCCCTAGACGGCTCAAGAGGGCCCCAAGATGGACCAAGAAAACCCGAAGACGGCCCGAGAGGGCCCCAGGATGGAGGGGTAATACGAGCTGCTATTTGGAACCCTCTGCCCAAAAATGACCCCCGAGGCCGCCTATAGGTGCCCAACAGGGCAGGCCGAAAGAGGCCCCTGGGAGGCCCAAAAGAAAACACAAAGAGGCCCCCGAGAGACCCCAGGAGGACTCCGGGAAGCCTCCAGGAGACTCCGAAGAGGCTCCAACCAGGCTCCGAGAGACTTCGAAAGAGACCTGGGCCCCAAGATGCCCCAACATGGTTGGTATGCTATCACAGCGTGAGGAGACAAAACGAAAACGGTCTGGGCACGTCCCAGCAGGACCCGAGACGGCTCAAGAGAGTTCTTGCTTCTTCCATAGGTCTTTCTGCCTCCTGTCTGTCTTTCCTCGTCCCGCCTGCACGTGCTCCGCCAGCCGGCGTGACAGCGCGTGCATGCCGTTTCAAGGCGGCTTTCTCTCCGTGCTCCGTTACCGCTCCTTCGTCCTGCACATGCTCCGCCAGTTGGCGTGTCAGCGCGTGCATTTTATAGCACGGCTGTGTTTCTCCTTCGTCTGTCTTTCTTCGATCTTCCTGCAAGTGCTCCACCACCCGGCGTGACAGCGCGCGCATTATGTGTTAAGGCAGTTTGTTCTCCGTCCTCTGGGTTTCTTCTGCACGTGCTCCGCCAGCTGGCGTGGCAGCGCGTGCATTCTATTTCAGGGCAGTTTTCGTCCCGTCCTCCGTCATTCCTCGTCCCTCCCGCACATGTTCGGCAAGACAAGCCAAGAATATGTGACGACATCCAAAGACCAGCAAACTACGGCCTCGACATTTCATCATAAAGCCAGTCAATGCCCCAAGCCTGTTCAGCGATCTCCTCGACGAACCCACAGGCCAATACCTGCGCGTCGTGACAGCGAAGAGTCAACCCTGGACGGCGCCATCGGGGCCACAAACACTTGCCCCCCCACAAGAGCGCCTGAAAAAAACCCAAAGCCAGCCCAAGGGAGCCCTGCGACATCCCATAACCGGCCCACGACGGACACAACTCTTCTCCGATTGCGAGTCGCCTGGAAACCCCGACCTCCGTTTCATCACAGCGCCATGGGCTGGACTAGAACCTAAGCGCGCGAAGCGCACGCGTGGTTCTAGTGTGCTATAATCCAGCATCCGACCTTCCACCTCCAGCATCCGACCTTCCACCTCCACCTCCACCCATAGACATCCAACCTCCATCAACTCAGAACTCCGACATCCGGCTTCCACCATCCGACCTTGCACCTCCACCTCAACCTATCGACTTCCAGCCTCCATCATCTCAACAACCCGACCACCAGCCTCCAACATCCGACTGTCCACTTCCACCTCCACCTATCGACCTCCAACCTCCACTGGCCCAGCATCCGGACATCCAATTCCCAACATCCGACTTCCACCTTCCACCTCAACCCGACAATACATACCTCCAATCAGCAGTCACAACAACCACCGCAACCCCACAACACAGTAATTTTACGATTATACATAAAAATGCCCGGAGCCTCACTAATGACGCAGCGGTTGATTTACTTGTGCAAGAGCTCTCAGGCGTGCAATGGGACCTTGTAGCACTCAACGAAACATGGAGGACAGAAAAACAGGAATATTGGGTCACGGAGCCTGGTGAACACATATTTGCAGCTTCAGGACACGACTCTCCAACTCGTGGGGTTGCTCTTCTCGTTCACAAACAGCACGCGCGACGCATACGAAGATTCAAAGCTGTGAACGAACGAATTGCATACATTGACGTTGACATCGGGAAGCACTCACTCCGGATCATCACAGCTTACTTTCCACATGGGGGTTACGGTGATCAGCACGTGCAGACCGTGTACGACGTGCTCACAGAGATCCACACCGATGCCTTACAGCAGAAGTTGACGACCGTGCTCACAGGAGATTTCAATGCACAAGTCGG